GAGTTCTACTTTTGGTATGAATAGTTCGCTGATATTTCGCTGTTAGTTCGCTGATTTTTCGCTGTTAGTTCGCTGATAGTTCACTTTAGTCCATGCTGTATGTGTTTGACATCGCTGCCCTACTTGTGTTTCATTGATGCTTCCCTGACGCTTGCCGCCCTTGGCTTATCCAGACGCTTATGCCGGATCGAATGCACTTGCCTACTTGTGTTTCACTGCCTTGCTACCTTGATTCCGGTTGCATTCCCGCTGCCCTCCATCTCCTTGCGTCGCTGCACGCCCACCTGTTTGCTGGACTATGTTGCTGCATGTTTACTTGGTTTGCGGCTTTGTTGTTTGCCTTCATGCCCGCCTGCCCACCTCCTGGCTGCCCACCCTTTGTTCTGTCTGCATTTTTCTTTCCCTGCCTTCTTGTGTCTTCTCCGGCCTTCCTGTCCGCTTACTACAAGGCTTGAAGAAGACCATGACTCAAAGCATGAATGCGGGGATTCTGCACACTGTCGAGGGTTCAGCATCCTAATGAGTCGAGCCAGTGAGACACTGATGAAACAGTCTGTCACTATCATTATTCGCTTTCGGTTCTTTTCTCTGTGATTTCTCTATTCTTTTGTCGCAAGTCGTGTTCCTTGCCTTGTTGTTTGTGGAATTTTGCCAATATTTTTCGAGACCTAGTGTGTGTGGTCTGTCTGCTCAGAACAATCTCGCGATGCTCTCTCTGATGTACAATCGTGATATGCTTCGGGTATGATCCGCATCGAGCCGCAAACACGGTGTCGACTGACAATGTGTCGATGACGATAGATAGATAGATAGATAGATAGATAGATAGATAGATAGATAGATAGATAGATAGAGAGAGAGAGAGAGGGAGCGGGGGTGGAGGGTGGTCCAGTCAGACACCAGCCCCCCTTTCTGTCTCTGTCTCCCTACACACGTGTATGAGAGAGAGAGAGAGAGAGTCGTGAAGAGTTGCAGGCCCTCTATGCTGCGGCGGGCCCTCTTTTTTTTTTTTTTTTTGGGAAAATTTTCGAAATGCCCCTGAAGTTCGCGTTTATTTGCGGCGTGCCCCTCTGAAGGCCAACTTACCCTGTTGTGCCCCTCGGGCCTCTGAAATTTTCCACAGGCCCCTGTCAGCATGGGGCGCAAGTTTCCGATATGCCCTTACTGGACCGCCGGTGGCGTTTCGTCGGTCAGTGCTTGAAATGCCCTCACGAGGGGCACTCATCTTTCTGTGATGCCCTTCCACCAGTGGCGGCCGGAATTCAAATTCGAAGTGGTATGTACTTCGCACGCCGCCACGGAAAAACGGTGCAGCAGCGCCGGGGATCACTGCGTCGGAGTGGATACGCTTGCTGTGCGAAGGTCTATCCTCATCCATCCTCGTCATAGTCCTTGTCCTCCCTACTCGTCTTCCCTGCTCTTCCCTTGTTCCTCCCTCCAACTTTGTCCTCGTCACCCCTCCCTCTCCTTCTCCTCGATTGTCTACCTTTCCGTATTCAACTTCTGGATCCATTTTCGTATTGCACTTGTGGAAGTGGCGGATGTATCTGGACAAATTATACCACTAGATACTCTCGAAATGTTCCTCTTCCCTCCTCTTCGGCCGTTCCTCCCTCCAACTTTCTTCTCTTCACCCCTCCCTCTCCTCCGCCTCAATTGTTGACCTTTCCGTATGGAAATTCTGGATTCCACTGTTAGGGACACTCGCCATTTCCGTGTCGAAGTTGTGGGAATGGCGGATGTATCTCGACGGATTATACCGTTAGATACACTCAAAATCTTATAGTGTTGTCCAACGACTGGAATTAGTGTCAACAACAGCAACAGGGGCTTCCTGGAAAGATGGACAGTACCGGTAAGGGCATATGGGAAACTTTTCTGCTGGTTCTCAACGGCCAGCCGGTAGGGGCATACTGCAAATTTGGTACCCGTACCGGTAGGGGCATATGAAACATGTTTCAGGCCCAAACGACGCCAGGGGTTTTCTGGAAACATGGTTCGTCGTCAGAAGGGCGCGACAAGGTAAGTCGGCCGTCAGAGGGGCACACCGCAAATAAACGCAAACTTCAGGGGCATTTCGAAAATTTTCCCTTTTTTTTTCCAAGTGAAAACTTGATACAGCCAACTATCCTGTCCTTTCTGGTCAGGAGCTCAGTTTGCAAGGAACGTAGAGACAATTAAGTTAAACTCTAGGCTACCAGAGTGGCCTGGTCCACTTGCCTGGCTGGGCCAAAAAGAAATAAAAAAATTTTGGTAAAGAATTTTGATGTGACCCTGAAGCAAAAGTTGTTCAGTCTATTCTTCTGCATAACCTAGTTTTTTTTTTTTTTTTTTTGCTAGGAGCCTAGGACCTTTCCTGGTCCTTGCACGGCCGGGCTGCCGGGGAAAATAGGGTGACCCAGGCGGCTCGGCTGGTAGCCTAGGTTAAACTTTGTAATAAACCCAGTCTCATCATCGAATCATATCGCAGATAACAATGCCGTGCAATGTTGTGCAAGGAACCTGACTGTTCATCACTTGCTGGAGTGCATCAGATCACATGCAAATACACTGATTTCACAGATTGCAGAGTCTCACACAAAACCCAATAGAAGATGAATGAGAACCAGGAAGCTCAACTCAATTATCAAACCCAGATTTAGAGAGAGCACATCATGAGTTCAAACTTCAAAGTGTATAGCGCTGAATCAGAGATTACAAGTCTCCTTCGATCAACATGAGTTCCGGGCCTGGCGCTCATCAGCGCCAGCTACCAAATGTCAACAACAGCGCTCAACAGGTAAGTGTCACCATAGCTCACACTTCCCTGTCTCTCGTCTGCCTTCTTCTCTTCCTCCCTCTATGTCTATAGTCCTGGTGTACCCTCATTCGTCATGCATGCACACTCCCTATCACACGAGGATCTACTCTGAATACTACTCACTGGTATCTCCTACTGACTATGCCTACTAACATACTAACTAGCGCTGGTGCAGCTATGGCTGCCTTCCCTCTAGCCAGCACTCTCTTCCTCCTTCCCGCATAGCGCTGCTCTTCAGCCTAGCGCAGCTCACACCCATCTGGCGCAAAAGTGCCACGGCACTTGCACACCCTCATGTGAAGTGAGCATCTGCCCAAATGGGAGGCTGGCCAGTCCTTTATAGTGCTGGACTGGTCTGGCGTGGCCTGCATTCAGTCTCAAAGGTGCCTGGGACTCCCGCCCAGTACCGATTGTTGCAAAGTGTGTGTCCCATTATCTTTTTTCCCATGGTCTGCTGCTGCTTTGGGCCATCGGGCCTGTCTCTTCGACTCCTGGTCTGAATCAGGACTGACTCGTGGGATTATGACTGGACTGGGACTGTAGCCTTTGACTCATTGCCGAACAGATGTGACTTTTCAACGAGGAGGCATGACCCTAACTCAGTCCTGAAAACTGTGTCCGATACCTGTTCGTGCAGGACCTGTTTGTGACTGTTCGAAATGACTTTTCACTTCGTTATGGATGCGACATATGCCTCAGGGAACTTTGTCTTTTGAGTTGCTGTTCGTGAATTTAGTTCTGGCCGACAGGGCCCATTGCTGTTGGGGTATCCATTTGGGGTCTGATTCGTAAAGGCCCTTTTAGTTGTGAGATAATCAACCCAATAAGTCCATCAGTTCAAAGTCATTGAAGTACATGTTTCCTCGTTATCACGTGTATGTCTCGAAGTCCACAGTATCCAGAAAAGGAGAGGAGGGAAGAATAGACAGTTGGAAGAAGGAAGTATAATGCCCTCATCTCCTTCAGGCTCCCCACCTCTGCCATGTCAGCAATCTGTACTCAATGCGCCACGTCAGCAACATGCACTCAATGTGCCACGTTAGCACTATGCCACGTCAGCGTCAGCGATATGCAGTGTCACAATGTGCCACGTCAGCGATATGCACTCGATACGCCATGTCAGCACTCCGTGTAACGCATGGACGATGTGGAAGCAGTCCCTAGCAGATAAACGATCCTCCATCAGGGAGCAGAATCGGCAGCAGCTTCACATCTGAAGAGACCAGGTACATGCGCACGATGCTCATATCACCCACACTCGCTCTCTCCCTCTCCTCATTCCCTCGCCGTCATCTACGGTCGCGGCCGTAACCGCCCTCTCCCTCTCTCTATACTATAGTGTCTGGCTGGCGCCCATCCAGCAGCCTGGCGCCAGCACCTCCTCTCAAGTCTCTCACGTGCAGTGTCGTAGCTGCAAGCAACTCGCAAGACTGAATGCTCAAGCCGTGGCGGATCAACCTTTTGTAGTGTTGACTCACACTGTTCAGGGTCAGCATCGGTCCATGTGAGGGTCTGGATCATCCGATCAGTCTCAGTTTCGGTCTGGACTTCTCTAAGCCTGAATCTTCCGGAACCTGCAGACAACTGTGAGATCATTCCAGATCAACGGCCAGGAAATCTTTGTTGTTGACTTTGACTTCTCTGATCTGGGCTGGGTCCATGAGTTGCCTGTTGACTTTTTGGTCAACCGTCGGCCTGGGCCCTTTTCAAGGCCTCTTTTCAAGGCCTGGCCGTTTGAACATGTCTGTGGGCGCGTCGGGAGCCCGGCGGCTCAATTTGGCACACGAGTTACAGCAACTTGGTCATTCTTTTTCTCTCTGTTTTTTTTCAAGCAGAAACCTCACTTTGTCCATTACGAGGTTGCATCATGCTGCGGCTACTGATCTGATGAATAATTGAGATGTGTTGCATTCATTCGGCTACGGGCCTACACTGTTTAGGGCATACTCACAGTAGAACTTTTGACTGAATCACGCCATCTTACTGAGTCAGACCAGAGGCATCCAGGAAACTGAATTACGCCATCTTACTGAGTCAGACCAGAGGCATCCAGGAAAGTCGTGATGTGAGCATGATCTTAACCATGGCTACGCCGGACGCGGACCCGGACATTTCCGGACATGGAACCGGACCCGTGTCCGGTAGTTTCTGGACGTCCGGAATTCCGGGTATTTCCGGACCTCTGGAGATGTGGGGATCCGGACGGTCCGGATGTCTGGACAGGTCCGGAGATGTCCGGACCATTAAAAAAAAAATAAAAATGAAAAAAAGGTATGTTACCCGGAATAACAATGCAAACCACTTTTGCCTCAGAGTCATGTCAGAATTCCTAACCAAACTTGAGTTAAAAGTCAAGAACTATAAAAAAGCTTAAAAAAAGACTTAAACCAGGGCTGGTCCCTGGTTGGACCGGGGGCCCTTTCCCCACCCGGGAGCCTGCTGGTCGGACCGGCCGGTCGACCGGCCCGGCAGACCCCCGGTTGAATCCAGCGCATTAGGCTGGACGGGGGGTACCGGGCAGTGACAGGTATCCCCTCGACTGCCCAGCCCCCACGAGGCCGCGGGCTCCCAAAAAAAAAAAAAAGGGCCTTTTTGGGCCCCACTTCTAGGAAACAACGAGCGGAGAATCTCCGCTGCTTATCTTTGCAGATCAGCGGCAAACGACCGCCGTGCGCGTTTTCTCAAAAATGGGGGGGCCACCAGGCCCCACATTTCGATTTGGCATAGTGTGGTCCGACAGACCACAGACCAGTTATCATTGGCATGACATACTCGTCCATCCTCAGCCATGAAGGAATTACTATGGAAGAGCAGTGGCTCTCCTGAGGTTATATGCTTCTGCAACATCACTAAGCTCTGGGGAAAGAGTTATGGGTTTGGGCTTCTGAGGAGCCCAAGAATGGACCTAAGCTATATTTTTCTGTCAATCTATCTAGAATGCACGTGGCTCCACTACATGTATCTGGACATATTAGCAGGCGAGATACTTTCGGACTGAGGACACTGATGACCCAGCGTATTTAAAACAAAAAAAACAACAGAAAACGCTCTGTATTTAAAACAAAAAAGACAAACAGAAAACGCTCTGCCTGCACGAGCTGAAACCTGCACCCATAACTTTTCGGCCGTCGAGCTATACTCTGGAAAAGGTATTTTTGGCAAAGATCCACTTCTATTGCATCTCATTCAGGCCGCAGGACTCCGACGGCCGTTGGCATAGTCCAGAGTGCCTTCTGCTACTGAATTGAAGTCCGTGGGCCATGGGGGGTTGGATAAGTAATATTGCTTACTAGACCCCTCCCCCTGAAAGTGACACCTCCGTGAATATCCCAATAATATCCCCGTGGGGCACCCCTAAAAAAAAATTGGACCTTAAAATTTTTATTACGGATTTCGACAGCTCTTGAAGAGCGCAGTCAGAATCCACCAAAAAAAAAAAAGGAAAAAGAGAATTAGGCTTTATTTTTTGAAAACCGGTTTTCCGGTTCACCCCCCGGGGCCTGGTCCGGCTCCGGTTCAACCGGGCAAGCTGAACCGGCCGGTTGCCGGCCCAGCCCTGACTTAAACTAATAAAAGGTAATGAATTATTAATAATTAAAAATTTGGGGTTGTCTAATAAATTATTATAGAGAGAGAGCATGTCCGGAACCCCCCAAAAAGCATAAACGGGCCTGAAAACCCCCCAAAACAAATTTGGGGGCTTGGCTCCTCAATGGGGAAGGGTCCTGGACCGCTTTTTTTTTTTTTTTCTCTAAAAATTTGGCAGATCTGGACCTTCCAGACCGGATGTCTGGAGTCCGGACTGAATCCAGACCGTCTGGACGGCGGTCCGGACGTCCGGATCGTAGCCATGATCTTAACTATTCGACGTATTCGTGTCCTATAATTCTTGACTTCCTCGTGAAACAGGAAAGCAACTTCTGTTCTGCTTCCAGAGTTGCCAGAGCCATAGCCAGAAAGCTAACTTTTTTCCGTTTCTTCTCCTGCGCCTCCCCCCCTCCCCCCCTCCACCCCTCCACCCCCCCGGCACCCGCTTTCTCTCCATCTCCCCCTGTTGACCCCCTTCATCCACTGAACAGAATATACCTTCATGTTAAAGCTGTTGCACACTTCTTGTGGTGACCTCTGTTTCTACCACCCCTCCTCCTCATCATCATGATCATGTACCTCCGTCTGTTGGACGTTTACTGCAGGTGTGTAAATAAGACTACAGCTTTTCGTTGCTGTGGGCGATTCACCGTCACCGCCGTACTTGGATCCAGTTCTGAAGATGCAAGGTGCAGTGGCAGAGCTGGGATCTTCTTTGTATGGAGGTATTGCCACATGGCAGGACACAGCTGCTGATAGGCTTCCAAGTGCCCGCACATCTAAGAAGACGTCAAGGCGTGGTTTTCTGTCGTCTGCGATCAGTCATCGTTACCCTCTGTTTGCAGATCTTTTCCGTCCATGTGGTCGTGGTCAGACTGAGGTGAGGCAGAGTGGCCGCTGCAGCGTATCACCACACGCTTGCTTCCTCGTCTCAGGGCAAGTCTGTCGTGGATGCGCGGACCATCTCAGGAGAATGTTTGCTAACAGTGTCCTTGCATCTTCGCCACCGTTGTCGTCATTGTCTCCGTCTATTTCGCACTCTGGCGGCTGTGCGTCCGGCAATGTTAAGGGAGGAGAAGGTGTTAGTGGGACTCTGTCCAGCTTCTTGCAGCATGGCGGGCTTCAAGATGGCGGTGTTCTCAGAAGGCGAGGAGGGTGGTCACAAGGATTTGGGGGGAGAGGTGGGGGTGGAGGAGTGTGTACACCTGCGATTGATGTGACGGCAGCTGCATTGACTTCTTCTGAGGATGACGGCGACAATAGGAGAACAAGCACCACCGTTACGATACGCAGCGCAACAAGGGAGGATGAGGAGGAGGAGGAGACACCATCTGCAAGTGCTGCTGCTGCCACGACCGCTTTGGACCGCGATCTCGGCCTGGGATTGACTGAGCTGACAGCCATATCTCCGGTTGATGGCCGGTACGGGGACAAGCTGAAAAAGAGCCTTCGAGCTATTTTTAGCGAGTATGGCCTGATTCGCTATCGAGCGCTTGTGGAGGTGCGATGGCTTCAGAAACTCTCAGAAATTCAGGGGGTAAGTGAGGTGCCACCGCTGAGCGAGTCTGCCCAACGGCTTCTTGAGGAAATCGCAAGTGGGTTTGGATTGGAGGATGCGGCAAGGGTGAAGGAGGTGGAGCGAATAACCAACCATGACGTCAAGGCGGTCGAGTATGTTCTGAAGACGCTTCTCGGAACCGACCCAGAACTTTCTAGAGTGTTAGAGTTTGTTCATTTTGCTTGCACGTCGGAGGACATCAACAACTTAGCCCATGGGTTGATGCTGAAGGAGGCGTTGGAGAAGCAGCTGCTTCCAGCCATGGATGGCATCATTTCGGCGCTTCGGCGGCTGGCACATTTGCATGCAGACAAGCCAATGCTTTCGCGAACGCATGGGCAGCCAGCCTCTCCGACGACGGTGGGAAAAGAGATGGCCATCTTCTGCTACAGACTGGCGCGGCAGAGGGAGGCCCTAGGGAAGACTCGGCCGATGGGCAAGATAGCTGGCGCGGTGGGAAACTACAATGCGCACATGGTCGCCTATCCGGACGTCGATTGGCAGGCTGTGGCGGAGAGCTTTGTGACCTCTCTTGGCCTGGACTTCAATCCATACACCACGCAAATCGAACCGCACGACTACTTAGCGGAAGTGTTTGATTGCATCACGCGGTTCAACAATATCTTGATCGGTTTCGACCGGGACGTGTGGGGCTACATCTCGCTGGGGTACTTCAAGCAGAAGACCGTGGCGGGAGAGGTGGGGTCGTCGACAATGCCGCATAAGGTCAATCCGATCGACTTTGAGAACAGCGAAGGAAACCTTGGTATCGCCAACTCCTTGTTCAATCATCTCAGCGGAAAGCTTCCTATCTCACGGTGGCAGCGAGACCTAACCGACTCCACAGTGCTTCGTAACCTCGGTGTGGGTATCGCCCACAGCATGATTGCCTACCAGAGCACAATGCGGGGTATAAGCAAACTAGAGGTGGATCAGCAGCGGATTAACGAGGATCTGGACGGCTCGTGGGAAGTTCTAGGCGAGCCGATTCAGACGGTAATGAGGAAGTACGGCGTTGAGAAACCCTATGAGAAGCTGAAGGAGTTCACGAGGGGGAAAAGCGTGTCGCAGCAAAGCCTGAGGGAGTTTATTGACGGGCTGGAGATTCCTCCAGAACCGAAGCAGCGATTGAAAGAACTGACACCTCACACGTACATCGGCAATGCCGCACAGCAGGCACATAATGTGTAACTTTGCTCACCAGGGGGAAAGGCGTGTCGCATCAAAGCCTGAGGGAGTTTGTATGCCATTATCGTGACATCAACGTCGTTGTCACTCTCCCGTCATTGTGCTTGTGGTCGTCATTGGTCATGGCAGTACCGTACGAATAGTAGTTGTCATCGTCGTCATGTTACGATGGTAGTGCACTAGTCGTAGCTTCAGCAGTGGTTGTTGCCGCAGCAGTGGGAAAGAGGTCATGCGAAGTTGTGTGGTTTTCCCTGCGCGATTGTGTTTATTGAATTCTGAAGATCCAGAGTGGCAGGAGCAGCAAGCCGAGTACTCCTTGAACAACTTGCCGGCCAAGTGTGCTATCGGAGAGGGGTTACTAAGCTATCATAATGTCGGACGACCTGCAAACGCACAGAACGAATGAAAAAAAAAAGGGGAAAGAGGAAGGAAAGTGAACGGGCGCGTGCAGAGAGCTTTTTCAGAGTCTCCAGAGTTAGTGCATTGCTGCTGAAGATGGCTATGGTGATGTGTGCTTAAACCACCAGCACCCCGCCCGGCTATTTTTATCAGCGTCACGGCACATACAAAGGGCTTAAACCACCAGCACCCCGCCCAGCTATTTCTTCAGCGGTGCGGGGCATACACCGCGGCCATGTAATAAGAAGCACAGTGAGTAGATGAGCTGCCAGCTTGTTGAGTCTAGAGGGATGGGCAGGCAACCGGTTATATGCTGAGACAATTACTGATGGGCAGAAGCAGACAGAGTGGCTGTCTGACAAACTGACAGGCAGGCAGACAGACAGACAGAGAATCTGATCGACTTGCAGAAGAGCTTGAGATCGACTAACTGCCTGGCAGGCAGGCAGGCAGGTAGATTGACAGTATAACTGAAATTCTGACTGCAATCATTATGCCGGAAATAGACAGACCACTATATGGATGACGGTCTGACATAGACTTAAGCGCACAGAGTGGCTGTCTGACAAACTGACAGGCAGACAGACAGACAGACAGAATCTGATTGACTTGCAGAAGAGCGTGAGATCGACTAACTGCCTGGCAGGCAGGCAGGCAGGCAGGTAGATTGAGAGTATAACTGAGATTCTGACTGCAATCATTATGCCGGGAATAGACAGACCACTATACGGATGACGGTCTGACATAGACTTAAGCACACAGATTGGCTGTCTGACAAACTGACAGGCAGACAGACAGACTGGCTGTCTGACAGTCCGACAGGCAGACAGAGATCACCGTTCCGAAAAGTTTGAGAGAGACTATAACTGGCCGGCAGACAGGAAGACGGATAGGAGCTGAGATGGTAATTGCGATGCCGAGACGGACCGACAACTATACAGATGACAATGGTCTGTTGCCGTGGCCTGACGTAGGCTGACCTTGACTGACACGGGCTGACACAAGCTGACCGCGTTCGATGCACAGTCTGGGTGACAGAGGCTGACTGTCGGATCAGAGAAGACTAGAGGGCAGACAGTGAATGGGGCTGATGATGAGACGGGGGGCTTGCTCCACGACTCAACATTCTACATGCATTTGGATGCTTTCTGGACCAGGTGCATTCGGACAAATCCATTTTGAATATCAGGACGTCAGACGATGATGGCCTGCCATAGGCTGACATTGGCTGCCATAGGCTGCCATAGGCTGAGATGGACTGACTGTCAGAAACGAGATGACGGACAGACAGAAGAGGTCAGGATGTGTGGCAAACGAGGTGGCTGTGAGAGAGGAACTGGAGGGCAGAGGGGCCGATAGAGGCTTTAGACATGGGGCCTCACTCCACGACTCAACATTCCGAATGCATTTGGATGCTTTCTGGACCAGGTGCTTTCGGACGAGGCCAAACTTTGAATGCATCGGGACAATTATTAGCTCCAGATATGTACAGTGTTGTTGTATTGGAGTGGGCCCCGTGGACTGAAATGCCGGGGATAGACGGATGGCTACATGGGCAATATGACCAGACGCTGACAAGATTTGCTGTACATGAAATGACAGTCTCGCTGGCCTAGTTTTTTTTGTTTTGTTTTGTTTTTTGACAGACTTGCCGTACATGAAAATGATGACGGTCTCGATAGCGTAGGCTGACTGGTAGATGGGAGAAGAACGACAGAAAGAAGAGGTGTGGATTAGAGACAGAAGAGGTGAGCACGAGAGATAGAAGAGGTGCGCTGGAGAGGGAGGCTGCGTTTTATGGTTCATGCCCCTCTCTCTTCCATTCAATGGCCACCCCTTGCTGCTGTGTTTATGATATTTTCATCATTGGTCTTTGAAGAGTCTGAAGAAAAACTTCTTTCTGTTTCTTTTTTTTTTTTCCGTTCTCTCGTCCCTTTCAAAAAAAAGTTAATGATGCTGCAAAGGGACGAACTTTTGAAGAGTCTGAAGACTCTGAACTTTCGCAGCATTATTAACTTTTTCAGAGTTTTTCTTGAGGTGACAAGGCTAGAGTTTTTTTTTTTTTCCCCCCCCTCTTCTTGTTCCTTTTCTTGCGAGGTGGTGAGTAGAGTTCTCTATTTTTGTATTTTCCGTTTTTCCCTTTTTTTTTCCCCCGTCCTGTTCGTAGCGCAATTTTAAAATTACAGTAGGCCGACCAAGCTGTGAATTATTTGCGCGTCTCTTACGAATTCATGTCAAAGACAAAGTTAAAAAAAAAAAAAAAAAAAGAAGTTCGCAACTTCGCAGTAATCGACAACGGAGTGCTGACTGTATTGTGGGTATAATTCATTATAATAAAAGTTAACAGCAGAGAAGTAAAACTCCCAAAGCTCCCCCGCCACAGGCAATAGACAGGAGCACCAGGGAGCCCTGCTAGATGGGGCGGCTCGTATCACCCCCCTCTAGCAAGCTGCAACTGGCTTTTGCAAAATAATAATAATAATAATAATAATAATAATAATAATAATAATAATAATAAATTCTTCCAATTGCGCTCTGATGAAGCCATGGTAAGATTGGATCAGATTAAATTTCATTAAAAAAAAAAAAAAAAAAAGCCATGGTAAGATTATGAGAGAGAAAATCCCAACAACAGTCACTTCTCCATTTATGCTGACAACTCGGACACCTCGTCAACCTTTATTTTTTTATTCTTTTAAATCTTTTTTTGTTTTTAACTTGTCTCCCCTTTTCAGAAGACCAGGTGGAGTATGAGTGCCAGCATCACAATTTTTTCTCTGAGTGCCAGCGTTGCAGAAAATTCTCTACCGGACTTCAAAGTCAAACGTACATTCGTGTAACGGCTGATCCACTTATTGCAGAATCTGATGCTGATCTGTGTGCAGATCCCGTGTTTAAATCACCAGTACCTTTCCCATATGTCGGCCGAAGGCACTGCGCGCGGGCCCGAAAATCAAGACTGGCCCTGGCCGCGGATTTGATTTATTGCGGCCGCCCTTGCGTTACAGGCCAGCGTGCTACCCGACGAGCCTCTGAAACAATAGCTGGGAAAGGTACTGGTGGTTTAAATCACCACTACCCCCGCCGGCCTAAATTCGGGGGGACCGGTTGCACAGGTTCAAGAGGGCTACCTGGTGGCACAGTGGGGAGAACCAGGGGAGTGGCAAAAATGGAAAATGCGTTGAATTGCCGCAGCGATTTATCTTGTGGCCGAAATGTTTTTTTCTATTTTTAAAAATATTTTTCCTGGAAAGAGCACGACCAAATCTACTGACCGTTCAACTTTCATCTTTCTTGACACATTCTTTTGATCGTGAAAAATCGCTGAAGTTGAGGTACTTTTCCCGTTGGCCCACGTGGTAGAGCGGCAAAAATGGAAAATGAGATAAATCGGCGCGGCATTTATTTCATGATCTATTTATTTTTTATTTTTTTTAAATTTTTTTTTTAAAAATAGTTTTCCTCGCAAAACCATGACCAAATTAACAGGCCCTGCAAATTTCAGATTTTTCTGAGCGCAAAAAAATCGTGGAAGTTGGGGTACTTTTCCCGTTGGCTCTCACGTGGTAGAGTGGCAAAACATGGAAAATGTGAGTAATCGGCGCGGGCTTTATTTCATGGACCAATTTTTCAATTTTTTTCCTGATATTTTTTCCGTGAAAGATCACAATCTAATCTACAAGATCTCAAATTTTCAGATTTATTTGTTAATTCTTTTGAGCGCGAAAAATTGCCAAAGTTGGTGCTTGAAAATTGCGGGTTTGGGCCCGCCTGCACGTGCTGGTCGCCGCCCCCTTTAAGAACCACTAGTACCTCCACCAGTGTTGGGAAATTTACGAGTTTTTGCCAGTTCCCGAAGAAATCGGGGGTGGGACACAGGGGCGGCAATGTCCCATAAATCGTAGTTTTATTTTGCCAGTGCACGAAAGGAAAAGGGGGGGGGGGGGGAAGGCCTTTGTACTGCAATGATGTTGGGCCGTGCTCAGTCTTGAATGCATCTTACAGCAAAGACGGTCACATTCTGAAACTTGTTGTTTTCTTTTTTTTCATTTCTCTTTTGATTGTTACGAGTCCCCTGCCAATGAGGCAGGGCGGAATCCGTGATCTGCTCTAACTGTGTTTCCTCAGAGGATTGTAGCCCTGATGTATCCAGTCATTTTCACGGCTGAATCCATGTTTTCCGTTTTTTTTTCTTCTTCTTGTTTTCTTTTTCTGGAATCTGACAATCTGAATCTGTGATCTGCTCGAGCTGTGTTTCCTCGGAGGATTGTAACAACGCTGATCACACTGGCACTTAGAGGAATGTACCTTGCCATTTTCACGGCCGAATCGGATTCCGTGTTTCTGTCACGGGGCTGAGATGCCCTCACTGAGGGCACACTCACGGTACCACTTCCAAGAATGTATACAGCTGCAATCACGGCCAGAGCTTTGTTTCCTTTTCTTGTTTTGTGAGTTTCACGACCACGACTTTTCTTCTTTTTTTTTCCTTTATTTTTTTGTTCTTCCCGTGAGAGTACCATAAAGAAATGGATTGAGATCCAGCGGCCTAGCTCAGTTGGTAAGGCATGCAAGTGGCATTCAGGAGGTCTTGGGTTCAATCCCCATTGGCCTCATGTACCTTCCTGGGCATACTTGGCGCCCGCCACCTAGAGATAGCACATTGGTCCCCCCAATTGGCATTAAAAGGCAGTCTCTGCTGATGTTCATAGGGGGAGGGGTAATCGGGGAGGCACAGCGACTGGCCACTCAGATGATGCTCGGTCCCTCTGCTACGGGCTGTCCCCTGGCCGGTGTCCCTCATTGGGGGTTCCCTGAAGGCAATCAAGGCGACCCTGGGCTGAAAAGGCCACCTGATGTCAGATTAGACAAAATATTGAATTTACTTGGGCTGGTTAGTCCGATGATAATACCTCAAGGCCATCGCCCTTCTTTAAAAAAAAAAAAAGAAAAAAAAAAAGAAATGGAGTGGGACCCAGGCTCGGCAAACTCGAAGAGCAGTGAAAATAAGGTTCGGCAAAAACAGGCTCGGAGGTACCGGTGGTGTAAGGCCAGGAAGGACGAATTTAGGCCGGCGGGGGGAGTGGTGGTTTTAAACCACCAGTACCTCGCTCAGCTATCGGCCGCGGGCACTCCCGTATACGCACAGCAGCCCTAGGGGGGTCGGCCAAGGGAAGGCCCGGTCGCTGCGCGAAGGCCGGGCTCTGCTTCCCTAGGAACGACACACTTGAGAAAACAAAAAAAAAGAAAGAAAAGGAAAAAAAGAACAAATACACAAACGAAAAAAAAAAAAGAACGGACAAAGAGTTGAAGTCGCGCGGGAGAGAGAGAGAGAGAGAGAGAGAGAGAGAGAGAGAGAGAGAGAGAGAGAGAGAGAGAGAGAG